CTGCTTTGCTGGAGAAAGTTTAAGAACCGCCCACTCATGGATTCTGCCAACGATTGAGTCAGCCACGGGAGAGTGGCGCTCCGGACTGATAAAGTTTATTTTGGCAGCCAAGCCAAGTCTTCACAGCCAAGTAGGGAGATATTTGCCTGCTTGCTCCCGAGGAACCCCTTGGAAACATTACAGCAAGGTACTACACCTGGGTAGAAAAATTGAAATGAACAGGTGGGGGACACTTGGCTTGACAACAGTACCTGTGAAAGGGATCTGGGAGTCTTAGTCGACCACAAGCTGAATATGAGTCAACAGTGTGATGTGGCAGCTAAGAATGCCAATGCGATTCTGGGCTGTATCAATAGGAGTAGAGTGTCTAGATCAAGCGAAGGAATGCTACCACACTATTCTGGTTGGTCAGACCACACCTGAAATACTGTGTCCAGTTCTGGGCACCACAGTTGAAGAAGGATATTGTCAAGCTGGAGCATGTCCAGAGGAGGGTGACCAAAATGTAAAAGGTCTGGAATCCAAGCCCTATGAGGAGAGACTTTGGGAGCGGGATTTGTTTAATCTAGAGAAGAGAAGATTGACGGACTTCCGGGTTGGCGCCTCTGGCAGTGGCGGATTTCCTCCGATCAGGAGGAACCCGCTCCGTGGAAAACAGGGTCTGAACCGCCACGGTGAGGCGGAGACCCATCAAAAACCACAGGCGGGAGAAGCCTGTGGACGTGGGATTCGGCTGGCACCTTTGCGCCCTCCACTCGCAGGGAAACCCGGTTTGGGGATCCGGAGCGACGTGGGGTGAGTGGCGCGGTGCAGTGAATCGACTGCTTCTTTCACGGAGTGAAGCCGCATTGCTGTTGCCGGAGAGCACTGACTTTTTCCTGTGGACAATTGGATTTCAAACAACTGCCCGTGAGTAGAACGAAAAATTGGACTGTGAAATTTCTTAATTAGGCACCGAAAGCGGGAAGGTCTAAACAGGAAGTCTGCCTTCTGCTTTTGTAGATAGATTGAAGCAAAGACACGGCAAGCTAGAGTTCAGAAAGTCGTTTGTAAAGGACTAAATTTTCATCATTTAAAATTACTGAACCCCCCTTGGAAGCAGGAGAAGAGGGGGGAACCTTTTTTAGACTGTTTAAACCTGCAGAAGAGAGAGTAAAGAAAGGTAATTTTCCACCGTCTTGAACCTGGGAGGCGGGTTGTCAAGACAGACGTTTTGGAGAAGCTCATTGACTATGGACAAACGTCTTTGACAGATAGTTAAAAGAACAGAAACATATTGATTCCATTGTTCCCTTTCGCTTTTAAAAGGAACAAAATATTGACAAAATATCCGAAAAGGAAAACTTTGTTGCTAAATCTGCCTTTAAAAAAAAGAAAAAGAAAAAAAAGATGGATACAAATAGAAATTGTTTCCCCTAGAGGGAGCTTGTGGAACTGTCATTAAAGTCGAACTGGGGAGCTTTGCAGCTGTAAAAGATTAAGATCGTGGGACCAGACTTCGACCTTGAACAAGAATGTGCTCAGAAGCTCTGGTGCTTGCCTTTTGCAAGACAAGTGCTTTATTGGAACAGTTACATGAGAAAATGGATTTGATGACAGTTGCGATAGGAAATTTTGGACAGGCAGTGGGTACCTATATAGAACCCACTCAGGAATTAATTCAGGAATGTGCTTTGACAGATGAGATGAGGGAGGAGGCTGTTGCTGGACCTCGGGTGGCAGAGATGGATGGAGCTGTGGCCCAGCAGGAACATGAGTCGTTGGATTTGATGAATGAACCTGGAAAAAGTCAGATTTGGAGAGACGGAGTTCTGTTTGGTTTGGAGATGGGGGGCTGGATGGACCCCCCTATGCAGAGATGTTTTGATTTTTCAAGTCTGGCTTTAGGCCAGGGGGAGCTCAGAGTTGTGGGGGCCCCTAATTTTGGAGGGGCCTTGAAACATGCCTTTAAATACCACATGGATTTCAGTGCTGACTATGGAAAAGGGGCTGACTTGTCGAGAAGGGACAAAAATATTGTCAAGTTGGAGTCTCCCAGAGTGAAAGGAGCAGAAGACAAAGTAAAGTACAGGTATAAACATGAAGAAGACCTGCGGAAGGGACATGGAAAAGACTTAAGAGCCTTGGATATAAGGTCACCAGGTTGATGGACTAGATGGATGGGATAGAAAGGACTGACAAAACCCGAGACCAGGAGAAGAGACGATGGATGAAGATTGGAAGAAAGTTTTAAAAATTTATTTAGAAAAGTATTGCAAAATTAATGAGTATCAGAAAAATGTTGGAATGAAATTAATTGGCTTTAGCAGAAATGCTAAAAAGAATTATGTAAGAATATGTTATGGTTAAAAGAATTTGGTATAAATAAGATTTAAGTTTTAAGGTTTTTTATGGTAAGATAAGGTTAAAATAGATTAAGGTAATTTAATGACAGAATATTGTGAAAGATGGAAAGGATTTGCTGAGATAATTAACAACTAGAATACAAAAAAGGGAGGTGTGAGGAGGTCGATGAAATAAGTTAATGAAAGTTAAGGATTTGGGAATATTGGATTTGTTTTTAAATTTGTTGTATATTTTGTTTTTTGATTGTGTTGCATTGTGTGTTTCGTTTTTCTTTTGATTTTGGTTTTTATTGATTTGTATTGTTTAATTGTTACTTTTATCTACTCTTTTCTTTCTCTTTCTCTTTTTCTTATTTTTTCCTTCCTTTTTTTCCTTTGTAACTTTAAAATTCTCAATAAATATCATTTAAAAAAAAAGAGAGAGAAGAGAAGATTAAGGAGCGACATGATAGCCATGTTTAAATATTTGAAGGGATGTCATGTTGAAGAGGGAGCAAGCTTGTTTTCAGCTGAATAATGAATTCAAACTATGGGAAAAGAGATTCCACCTAAACATTAAGAAGAACTTTCTGACAGTAAGGGTTGTTAGACAGTGGAATATGCCACCTTCGAGGTGGTGGAGTCTCCTTCTTTAGGGGTTTTTAAGTGGAGGCTGGCTGGCCGTCTGTCAGAGTGCTTTGCTTGTGTGTTCCAGCATGACAGGGGGTTGGACTAGATGGCCCTTGTGGTCTCTTCCAGCTCTATTATTTTATGATTCTATGACACTAGCTACTACACTGCACTGTTCCATTTGATAGATATTGTTGCTATTTTTTAAGCTAAAGGTTATGTATAGCTGCCATCTATTAGTCTTTGAGCCAGTGTGGTGCAGTGGGAAATGGGAACAGAACTTGCTCATCACCAACCTTCCCTCCGCAAATCAGTATCACTATGAGGCTGAACTAAACAGCTTGCTCCAGAGTTTTAAGAGATACGTTTCTGTGGTGTAGTGGTTAAGAGTGGTGGACTCGTAATCTGATGAGCTGGGTTCGCTTCTCTGCTCCTCCACATGCAGCTCCTCACAGGGTGTCTGTTGTAGGGGAGGAAGGGAAAGGAGATTGTTAGCTGCTTTGAGACTCCTTAAGGGAAGTCAGAGTCAGAAGATCAAGTTCAAACTCTTCCAAACTCTTTGTAATAGTGACATGTCCCATAAATATGGTGACACAACCAAATAATGTTATAGATTTCAATGGGATTCATGGAAGGGCCAAGTTTATTCTGCAGTTTAAATGAATGGGGCATGGAAGTGCTTAACTGGTTCTTGAGCAGGGCCAAAACCTGGGGGAAGGAATCTTCAGTCCCTGTAGCAAACAGCAGGCATAACAAGATTTTGTATGGAATGCAGAGCCAGTTCTTCTCATAAGCAACCAAGGGGAGCCCCTGAGGTGCTGGATGCACCACTAGAACTGGCGGCATGGTGTGAGTACCAAGTAGAAGTCAGGAGAAGGATGTGTTTCTTTTGGAGTCCCCACTGGTGAGAAAGGGGACTATAAATGAAGTGAAGGCCCCAGAGACCTACACAGCAGCCAGTTTGGGCTGAGGCAAGCCCACTGAGGTGCTGGCACAATTCTACTGGAGTTTTGCTCCCTCCCTGCATGTATAGCTAAGAAAAAAACTTTGTCTCACCTTCCCACACATTTTTTGATTGCCAGCACACCAACATCTTCATAGGTACATGCATGGGATGGGGGGCAGATTCGATTAGCCCTCCCCCAAAGGAACATCTTTTCTTTAGTTAACTCCACTCTGATGCTACAGTGGCTGTCTCACGTCAATGTTTGTGTCCATTTTAGCCACCCAACTGCGGGTGGTTTTTGGGGAACACCTGCATCATCTTGTGATCTAAGCATGATGCAGTTGTCTTTTTCCAGTCCTTGATATGATGTTTTGGGGAAGAGTGCAGTCCAAGTGAAGTATCTGTTGGTCCCACTGTGTATATTAGTGCAATAATAGCAACCTGAAGAGTTTGGACTTGATACACTGCCTGAAGAGTTTGGACTTGATACACTGCTTGATACACTGCCTTGATCAGGGGGAGGCAAGATGGCGGCTAGGGAGCAGCAGCCCCACGCTGCTCTCTGATGTTGCAGACAGCTACAGCTTAATATTGCTCGTTCCAAATGCCCTTGCCGTGCTTTTTAGAGCTTTTTAGAGATAGTAGTTTTAGAGCTAGTAGTTTTATTGCCTGTTAAGCTTTAGCTAACACCGACTTCGACTCCAGCCTGAGTGATTTATTACCTCCTTATCTTATTGGCATTTGGCTGCTGGAGGTTTGCCTACCACAACAGAAACATCTCTCCAAGTGCAACTATAATAGAGGAGAGAGGAAGAGAGGAGAGAGAGAGAGAGGAAGAGAGAGTACTGAGCTTTACTTACACTCGGAATTCCACGCAGCTGGCGGGGTACAGCGGGGGCAGTAAATTAATGTTAACATCACCGGAGGGCTTTCAACGCCGTCGGGAAGTATCACTATATAGTCTCTTCAGCAAGTAAGATGGCGGTTCAAGCCAGATAGGATTTCATCGCCCTCCTCCCCTCAACGTTTCATCTGCCACGGTCGTTGTAAGTAATGCCGCTGTAATAATCTATTTCATCTATCCCCCTCTATCTCTGACCGTTAGATCGTGAACTGTCGGAAAGTCTGGCACGCAGTGGACCACAGCCACTTCTAATTAATTAACTAGACGTGGAGCTTCTGGGGAGAGCGTTATTTAACGAGAGGAGTGCTAATTCCAGCTTGTCTAACTGGGACTAAGCGGTGCTATCTTCACATCCACATATCCCACATAGCTCCATATACTCTACGGAGATGGTGCTCACCAGACAGAAATGTAAAGTTCTGGGGGTCTCCCCAACGCAGAGGGTTGAATCACCATCAGTAACCTCGCAGACGAAAATTTCGCATTATTTTAAGCCTAAAACAAAAACGCCCATATGCTCCGAGTCCCCACTTCCCCACAATTGGTCTATTGACCGAACATGGTATGGGAAGGAACCTGATATTGGTGAGGAGAGAGAGGGGATCAGTCTGGCAATGGAGATGGCTCAGATAGTCTCCCAATCTAGTGCTACCGACACTCTCGTAGAACATGATCAAGAACGAAATTTGAAACGCCTGGAAGTCACACTAGATGGATCAGTCAATGCAGCCAGCCCCAGCGAAAGGCTAGGATGGAATCCTCAAGTGCGACGAGAACAGAGGAAAATCCAAGTCAGCTAAAAGGAGCCTGCTGGGACACAGATAGCAATATCTGTATCCTGATTGGGCTTTTCAATGAAATGATGAAAGAATGCCAAATGCACATAAGTAAAGAATTAGGACCAATTAGGAACTTTCTTACGGAATGCGTGGGTTTGCTAGTAAGCCTGACAGAGCTCATCAGGAAGGAGCAATCTCACACCCCCCACTCCAGCGGCTGAAATTCCAACAGAGCCCAGTATCTCAGAGAAGGTCCCAAAGAGAGCCACTCCCATGTCTACCAACAGTCGAGTCACACACTCCTCACCTAAAAAGAAGCATCGCCACCAAAGAATACACCCACTTCACAAGAAGAAGTCTAAAAACATAAAAGTGGGAAGGCGGACTAAGAGTCATACACGAACTAAGAAATTGAATTTTTCTAAGTTATTCAAGCTCCTGGAGAATCCCACAATAAAGGAATCAAATACAAAGAATACTAAACCCGTGACCCCAAAACAGAGCATTATCCAGCAATCTAAAGTGACAAGTGCATCACAATCCCCTAACCCTCAATCAACGAAAGATCGGAACGAACAACTAGATAAAGACTGGCAAACCTCCTCTGCCACTGTGGAGACTAACACCCCCATTCGCAATAAGATAACTCAGAACAATCAAACGCTGATCCTCAACAGAAGCAGATTGGTTATTTGCCCTATGTACAACCTGTGCAGAATTACATTCACTGGACCAACAAAGAACGTATATATTTTAAAAAATTGACTTAGTACTCAGAGGCCTCCTATTACAAGGTAACGTTATCAATGTAGATTTTCTCCCAAATGACAATAAGTATAATCGAGTGATGCTGACATTTAAAGATGACTCGACCGCAAAACAAATATTAATTAATAAGGAAAAGCTGCAAAGGGTGGGCCTGACAGTGACTCGCCTATTCGAAGTGCCCGGCCCCCCCTCGCACCTCATCAAATTAAATAAGAAAGACATCTATTCAAAGGTGGTGGAAAACAATAAAGCTGAATATCAGAATAACCACCAGTCGCCTCACGAACTGGGTACCCCCACACACAACTTCTCCTTTGAAGAAAATACCTTAATTAGTCAATTCTGGACATTCCCACCTTTAATACAAGCTGAAATCCTAGAAAGATTAGAAACGCTAAGAAATAAGCTGGCCGGGAAAGACTTATATAAGGAAACTAAGGTGGACGTCCAAAGAAAGAGTAAGAGCCCTCCCAAAATGATCATCTCACAAGAACTCGATTCAGCGGCTCGTCGACCACGTAACCTTCAGATAAAGGCAGAGATTAATCTACCTGCAATCAAGAAAGTACAACTTACAAAGGAGAACAATGCATCGCTCCCTATAAGGAAAAACATGCCTAAGGAAACCTCACCAGGCTTCTGGTCCAAAATGAGATACTTAGATGAAGCGGAATTAGGCTACAACCAGGTAGAATACCCCCAGGAGGAGGCCTTGTATAGCAAAGGCCCAGTGTCTACCAATGTGAGCACTCTATATTTACCATCTGACACCATAGAACACCTGGGCAGCTCTCCATGTAAGGATGATAGTCGGCTGCCACGTAGAATGGTAAACTCCAACAGTACCTTGGAAGATAATTGACAAGGAGTGGATCTTGGTAAAGCCAACCTTAGCATTTTATCATGGAATATCGCAGGATGGCAAAAAAAGGCAGCTGACCCATCCTTTGCTAAATCTATCCAAGGCTACGACATAGTATTTTTACAGCAGACATGGCTCACAGGGGACCTAGAAGTTAACGGCTTTTCCTCAATGTCCCTCACAGGATCTCCAAGCACTAAAGGGGGGAGAGTCAAGGGTGGCCTAGGCATTTTAATATCTACAAGGTTGAGGGCGTCCTTAGTAAAGTTAGAGACACTGAAACACCTGGCTATGGCCTTACTAGTGAAAAGTAGATTCTTCACCCTGCTACTGATTAATGTATATCTTCCCCCCCAAAGAGGCAAGCAGCTGATTAAAAACACCTGGCATGGGCTGGAAACATACATTGATGGTTTGATGACTCAAACCCCTGCAGCTTCAGTGCTAGTGGCTGGTGATCTTAATGCCAGAATTGGCCAGTCTGACGAAGCACTATATGCACACTTCCACGACTCGCCACCCATCGTGGAAGAAAACCACCTTATACCCACCAGACTCTCAAAAGACAAGGGATGTAATTATGCAGGTCTGTGCCTATTGCGTCTTTCTAACAAGCTGGACCTGGTCATACTAAATGGGCGCAAGAATGGGGAGACTTGTGGGGAATTTACTTTTATATCAAATGCAGGAGCTTCTACTACCGACTATGTTATGGTATCATTTAATCTCCTAAATAGAGCCCTTGAGTGCAAAGTGGAGGAGAGGGTTGATAGTGATCACTTACCGCTCTGCCTCCTCTTGGATGTAAGAAAAGACTTATTTTGCAACGATAAACTTGAAGCCCCCAGGTCCTCCAACATGGAGTTGAGATACTCACGTATTAGATGGTCCGAAAAGCTGAATGCCGAAACATCTGAAAGGCTATACTCGGACATATTCCTCATGAGAAGAGATAATCTCTTAAACTCACCATGTTCTGAATCTAGAATAATCTTGTTCCAGGATCTGATCTCACTTTTGCAACCCCACCTGATTCAAAAAAAGACATCGCGCCAACCTTTATTCCCCAACAAATCCAAACCCTGGTTTGATCAGGAATGTATTGCTACAAAGCGTTCTTTGCTGGATAAGTACAGGAATTAGAAATCAGCGAACTTACCCTTGCTTCCCGCGGAATGGTTTGAAGCCAAACGTAAATATAAAGATCTGATTAAAAAGCAAAAGCTTCAGGCCCAAAGGGGGGAGTGGCAACGTTTATTAGAGGCCTCTCGAAGGAAAGACTCAGCCACTTTTTGGAAAATAGTCGCGAAAAGTTGGCAAGACTCCCCGATTGAAATTGATTATACTATACCAGTTGGGATTTGGGAGGCTTACTTTCTATCTTTATATACATCAAATCAACATCTGCAGGCCCTGCCCCCAGCTCCAGTGATATTGGCGCCGAATGGCCCCAGTAGCAACTGAAGAGATCTATAGGCTCATCCAATCCCTTAAACCTGGAAAAGCACCCGGCGTAGACAACATTACACGGAACTCCTTAAGGCTAATGTTGAATGGTGGGCCCCTGTGCTAGCTGCCCTATTTACCAGCATAGATCAATCGGCCACTATCCCTGAGGACTGGGGATTAGCTATCATCATCCCTTTATTCAAGAAAGGGAGCCGATCAGATCCGGCTAATTACAGGCCAATCAGCCTCCTAAGTATCATTAGCAAATTGTACGCTGCCCACCTATGCGGCAAATTAGTGGACTGGTTGGAACAAGACCACATTCTTTCAGAAGCACAGGCTGGTTTTAGGGCAAATCGGTCAACCTTAGACCAGGGCCTTGTTCTCCAACATCTTGCGGAGAAATATACATCAAGAAAGGAGGTTCCCTATACGTGGCCTTTATAGATTTCAAATCTGCTTTTGATTTAATACCGAGGGACAGGCTTTGGGGAAAGCTAAGCGCCGCAAATATAAACAAACGCCTACTGTATCTCATCCACAGTCTATATGAAAATACAAGGATCCGGGTAAGGTGTGACCGACAGGGCCACCTATCCAAGGAAATCCAAATCCATCAGGGGTCAGGCAAGGGTGTGTCCTTGCGCCTACTTTATTAACTTCTATATCAACTCGCTAGTAGGAAATATGGAGAAAGAAAATGCCCATCCCCCCAAATTGGCTGGTACGCCCCTCCCGGTCCTTTTATATGCGGATGACACAGTTTTAATTTCTTTTTCTTGTGTTGGATTAAGAAAACTTTTGAGATCTCTTACCAAATACTGCAGCATCGAACAACTAACAATTAACTACAACAAATCCAAAGTCATGGTGTTCTCTAAAAAAAGGAGGAGGCACAAATGGAGAATAGACAATCGCTCAATAGAACAGGTAGCAACCTTTAAATACCTGGGTGTAACCTTCCAGGAAAGGGGCTCCTGGCGCTTTCAGATTAATAATACTATTGCAAATGCAGAAAGATCTACCAAAGCGTTAATAAGATTCTTCTATGGGAAGCCTCCCAGGTCTTTGCTGCCAAAATACTACCACAATTGTTATATGGATCCCTGATCTGCAGCTTTAAAAACCTTACTCTCTTAGAGGCATTCCAAACTAAGTTTTTCTGCTGCCTGCTGAGGATCCCCTCTTGCGTATCCAACATAGCGGTCCGTTTGGAGGTTGGGCAAATTCCTATCAGTACTCGGATATGGATATTGAAGATCCATTATTGGCTAAAGCTTATTTTCTTCCCGGTTGGGCTGGCACCTTTAACCTTATTAGATACCTACCAATCCAAATGGAAAGCTACACTGCTGGAAAAGCTTAAAGGCTTGGGGATCCCACAGCAGACCCTGATAGCGACAGGCTTCGAAAGCTAGGACTACAATTCGCCAGCGTATCTGGGACGTAGAATTACAATGCCACATGAGCGAAATGATCAAACATCCAGCAATAAGGGACCATGGGAGAGGTTTCTCTCCAGCTAACTATCTGTCAGGTCTTCAGGTACCCAAATACAGACGGTCTTTTACCCTCGCCAGATTCAACGTT